ACCCAGAAGAAGCTTCAAAGCCTGAGATGGCATGTTCTGGCCTACCCACCGTATTCACCAGACCTAACTCCAACGGATTATCATCTGCTCCTGTCGCTGTCGGACCATTCGAAAAATAAGAAGTTCGATTATGTGAATCAACTCGAGACGTACATTGACGAGTTTTCCTCCTCGAAACCTCAAGAATTCAACGCAAGCAAGAACAACAAGTTGCCTGATGAATGGCAATACCTTGCCGATAATGATGGTGCATATATTTGTTAATTGTTAGTTATTGTGAAGGAAAAAAATAAATTCAAAAAAAATTGCAAAAGGCGCAAATACTTTTCCGACAACCTAATATGTACATGTTTTTCTCACTTGTAGTTTATCCAAAAGTTCGTTCTAATGAGCAGGACTGAAGCTTAGAGACCAAACTTATTGCTTTTCAACATAAGTGGGCCCATAGTTTCTCTACGTGGATTTATCTAACCTTTGCTCTGCGTCCTCAGTAGTGGTCTCAAGTGTAGAGGGTCTGAAAGGAGGACTTGTTTTAAATTCTCATCAGCCCACGTAGTTTTCAGCTATTATTCTATCGAAGATCTAAAACTTAACATGGTTCAACACTATCTTTTGGGAACACCCCCCTAGCATGTTTACAATGTATTCTCTTGGATTCATTATTTATTATTCCTTTAGCACCACCAGTATCACACACCGAGTAATTTGCAGGAAAGAACAGGAGTCTCTATCATTCGCTCAGGGTGATCACTGCTTTTCAGAGTTTTCAGAAAAGTCACAGGCGCAGTTCACGATGGAAAGCGGCTTCTGAGAGTCTCCTTTGAGATGAACCCGTGGCTCTCAAGGTTAGCACACCGCGACAGGAAGTCACAAGAGCTTTAAAACTGGCTCAGTTGACGTACACACTTACAAGAGGCTTTGCACGACGGCGTTGCTAGGACTGCTCCATTCACAATGAAGCGTCAGGATGGCGATGAAGAGAGTGCTTATTAGGGAGATACGCAGCAGTTACAGACAGTGACGCATTGATACGGAATCTCTACCCATGTTTTGTTTGTTTTTTTTCAAGAACACAGTTTTATGCCATGAACTGTGCTGTCAGTATTATGAGTGCTCAGTGAAAAAAATTCTTGCAAATTCCGGCCTACTGTTGTCACCTTTTCACTTTATTGCACCAACCGACAGCTCGCTTGAAGGCACAGTTCACAAAATTTTGAGGTACCTTAGTTTGAGTCGAAAAGCAGAAGTATTATTTGGGAGTAGTGCAACGATTGAAGGACGCGAGAGATCTCGTCGTTTTTGCAAAAAATAAGGCTCTCCAAAAGCAGTGAAAATAGAGATTGTACGAGTTTACCATGACAGAAGTGACATGGGTGGGGTATGGCATGGGCGAGATGGCAGTTGTTGTAATAGCGCAAGGAGCCCACTACAGTAAGCCAAAACTGTCCAGAAGTGCCTTTCACAGTCTCTATGGATCACGACAAGTAGCTTGAACTTCCTTAATGGTTTCTCTGGTAAATGGTGAAGCCTGTACAATGCCGCTAAATCTCGTCCACGCATACACACGGAACAGTCTTTGAGCCCTATCTAGCTCGTTGTCCGACCTGATAGCGCTAAATGTTATACGAAGAAGCACAGATTCATTCTACCGAGATATCTCGCAAGCCCCTTTTACACTGAAATGGGCCCTTAAAGACCCCATCCTTGACGCTTCTGGTAGCCGTAAACTCGTACAACCCCTTTTTCACTTCTTTTTTGAGGTCATTTTTACTTCGAAATCCGTCGATTTTCGCGCTTTCTTCGCCATTTTTACACCATTTTGCACCACAACTTCCATTGTTTCACCTAGGCGAGATAACTCAGAATTATCGTGAACTGTGCCTTTGAACTTATGGAATTTGAGTAACTAGAAATTATTATAGATGCAGATCACAAGGAAAATTGAGCCCGCTCCACTACAGCCATCAAGAAAACTGATGTTGTTTTGTTACATAGTACAGTATGTGAACAACGTGCTTGCGGCCGTATCTTCGATGTTCGTCAATGTCTATGTCATCTACCGTATGCTGCAGAAGAATGCGACATTCGATCATTACCAGTATCTCATTGTGACTCAAGAAATGGTCATCTGTACAGCAACTATTTTGCGATTTCTACGCAATCGAGTAAGTTCTTAAATCAAATAGATCTCCACTGGGTGGGAAAGGAATCGAGCCAAAGGGAAGGAGATATGGAAAAAATCACCCAATCATGTAACTCACGAATTTCAACATTGTACAGGTTTCGTGAGGAAAGTTTCTGAACCATCTTTCCCTAGCCCTCCCCATCCCATTTCAGTGTTGCCTAATAAGGGTTTTTGGAACTGTAACAATAACTAAGCCAGACGTACACAGCTGTGTCAGACTCTAAATTTTGGTCATATGTGAGGCTGAATTATTTGCTCGAGGACAGCTCTCTGCTCCCTATGAACGCTTCCAATCTTGCATAGGTACAGAAATATGGGTATTCGAGAGAAAGCGAAAAATTAAGAAGGACAAAGTAAGGGGGGGGGGGAGGGACCCAACAAAGCATCTTACGAATCCGGCAAGTTTAGCCCAACTCGATCACAAATTCCAAACGATATGTGACCATAGGGAACCAGTGGAATTGCGTATATGCTAGACCGAGGTTCCAACTTTCATTGCCGGAAAACTCCTTTTCCTTCCTCCAATTAGCACCCTCCCTTAGGCATATTGAAGACCTGACCTGAAACAAGCCAGAGTTTGGTCGTTCGTTCATTGATCTTGTGCCGAAATCTTCAAATTCTAGATCGTGCTCCTGGATGGTCGAACCAGCTACTTCCATTATTTTGTGCCGTTCAGTGAAATAGCCCTTGCTTACCTTGATAGTTCGATCACGTGCGTCGAAACAGTGGAAGAGTTTTTTGTGGGCGTGTTCAATATCCACCGAACTCTACTTATTGTGTGGTAAGTCAATTACAAATGACAAAGTAATCGCATTCGTACACTTCTCAGATTATCAAATCAGCTAGTAATCACTGAAAGCTGTGACTAAACATTACCCCAAAAAATTGTAGATGAAATAAGCATCCGGAGAAGTCGGATTTTGTCTGGATTATGTGGGGCCCAGAACAAAACCTACAGAGCAGTGAACTCAGTAGAGCTCTCAAAAGATTGAACACGCATCGTGATCGGCGGTGCAAGAACAAGACTTCAGAATTTGGTCTCTAGAAAGCCAAGACAATGGCAAAAAGGGGGCATAAATCAGGGATGGGTCAGACAAAGGAGATCTTTTTCTTCCTAGCTATGAGCGGAAAAATAAAGTTTTCAATAAAACCTTTGACTACTTCCCGTAAGAAATCAGCTGGTAGACCTAGTGGGTGTTTTGAGTACCGATATACTAACCCCTCCAAAACAGAAGTACCTCAACAAAATCAAATAACATTGAAGGCTAAAATCAGTTGCAGGCCAAGAATTATCAGGCCGTTTCACATTGTTGCTATCCCTATTATTCTGGTTTGCTCCGTCTTTTTTGCTTATCTCTCCTATACGGCTGCATACGATTCGGATGTACACGTGAGTCCTTTTTCATTGATTTTTTTCAGTCTTGATTTAGGAACCACTACGTTGTCAAAGACAGCTTTTATGATGTGCATACTTTTACTCACTCAGATACTTAGACGATCCGACCATCAGCACGGCGTTTGGCCTCGCGCGGGTCCCAACTTCTTTTCCATTGTTCTCGATCTTGAGC